GCTAATAAAATACCAAGACAACAATATCATGGGAAAAGCTTCGTTGGAAATCATGTTCACAAAGCTTGCAAGGTAAGTACTGTACCGTATCAATAACTACATTATTTTTGTAATTGAAAACAATTTTTTTTTGTTTCATTATTTTTTTTTTTTTATTTTTTAGATTAACATCATTGACAAATTGATGACTGGTATGAACTCTGCCCTTAAAAATGAGTTAGAAGAATGCCCGATCAGCTCAGCAAAAATTCTAAACACAGCTTTAGAAAAAATAAAAAAGAAGCACACACCAGTTTTTGAAACATTTGCTAAGGTACACACGTTAATAAACCACACACGACCTGTTAATCCAACTGAACTGAGAGAATATGGTAAGAAACAAATTCATATTTTGCATTCAAAAAAAATAATAACTAGCTTTTTGTTAAAGTATTTTCCAAATTATATGTGCATTTTTTTTTTGACCCAGAGTCGGCAATCACAGATTTTTCAAGAGAGTATCGAAAAGTTGCAACCAATGTTAAGCAACCAAAGCTACATATGCTGGAACATCATTCAATTGAATTCATGAGGAAGTGGAAGGTTGGTCTTGGCTTGCTGTCTGAGCAGGGTGGCGAACTAATACATGCAGAATTCAATCGCCGTAAAAGATCTGTATATGGATTACGAAGTCATCTCGACCAAATTATGTCCGTTATGATATCCCACCTGTTGTTCACATCACCAGACATACAAAATGAGATATCATCATTGTCAAAGAAAAGAAAAATTGAAGAGTGATTAATAAAAAAAATGTATGTGTAAAATGATTAATGAGTTAATAATACACTATTTTTTCACCAATTCATTGTCTTGCTTGTCTAGTGTTGACTCAGTATTCAGGCATAATTTGAAAAATGAAAATAAATTATTTTTTATTTAAAAACATCACAATTTTAATCTTTAAATTAAGGTCATATCCTGGAGTTTATTAACACATTCTATAAGAACAATGAGGCTGAAATTGCTTTAAAATTAACAAAATTAGAACAAATTCAGGCTGACGTAAAATATCAAATGAGATTTTTATAATAAAGAAATATATGGTAAACCAATAAAAAATAACCCCAGTGAAATTCTTTTGGCCTTACATGTACCTTATGTGCACTAAAGGTGTGACTATGTAAGAGAAAACACTCAATAATACAGTAGAGTAATATACTGCTGTACAATATTGTTTATCTTTAAAAACTCCTATTTGCGATAGGTATAGCCTCGGTAATGTGTTAATTAGGCCTGGCCTATTTATTGTATTGTGTAATATGATACATGAATTTGGAATAAAATTATATTAATTATACAGTAGTATTTAAAATTTTTTTTATACCGAGGTATGAAACTTAAATAAAATGTAATGCATTAATTGCAGTTTAATTGTTTATTTT